CCCCCCCCGCCCCCCTCGCTACGCCTCTGCCTGGGGTTGATTACACATGGGGCCAGTTGGCCAGTTCTGCTTTACATCAACTTTACACTAGGGTTGCAAGTTTTACCCATAAGCATACACTACAAAACTTTAAGCACAAACAAGATTTTAAACCACTAAACATACCCAATCCACGACATAAACAGCAGGTCAAGTTATTTTTACTTTTTTTATCTATTATTTTATTATATTCCCCCCCCCTCTCCCACACACAACGGATGTCTATTTGTGACTGAAGAACATGGGCATTACTGCAATACAAACCGGGATTTCTAGTGTAGATTTGGCCGCAAGTTTTCCACCACTGTTATAAATCGTGTACAAATAAAGCAATAAACGTTTGGACATCTTGATAGCCTCCCTTGGTCACGTGTCTTTAAAAAAATCTTTGGGAATGACACGTAGCCACGTAACGAAGGAGAATATTTTGTCGAGTGTGTACCAAATCTAAATCTTTAACCCCTCCATTCCCCCCATTGATACCCATCAGTTCTCTAGATTTCATCTCTAAAGCAGCATAGACCCAATAACTGTCACATCAGGCACTATGCCCCACCACTAATGTGCCACACTATGCCCCACCACTAATGTGTCACACTATGCCCCACCACTAATGTGCCCCACCACTAATGTGTCACACTATGCCCCACCACTAATGTGCCCCACCACTAATGTGCCCCACCACTAATGGCAACACTATGCCCCACCACTAATGTGCCCCACCACTAATGTGCCACGCTATGCCCCACCACTAATGTGTCACACTATGCCCCACCACTAATGTGCCCCACCACTAATGTGCCCCACCACTAATGTGCCACACTATGCCCCACCACTAATGTGCCACACTATGCCCCACCACTAATGTGCCACACTATGCCCCACCACTAATATGCCCCACCACTAATGTGCCCCACCACTAATGTGTCACACTATGCCCCACCACTAATGTGCCACACTATGCCCCAACATGAATGTGCCCCACCACTAATGTGCCCCACCACTAATGTGCCCCACCACTATTGTGCCACACTATGCCCCACCACTAATGTGCCCCACCACTAATGGCAACACTATGCCCCACCACTAATGTGCCCCACCACTATTGTGCCACACCATGCCCCACCACTAATGTGCCCCACCACTAATGGCCACGCTATGCCCCACCACTAATGTGCCCCAACAGTATGTGCCCCACCACTAATGTGCCACACTATACCTCACCACTAATGGCCACGCTATGCCCCACCACTAATGTGCCCCAACAGTATGTGCCCCACCACTAATGGCCACACTATGCCCCACCACTAATGTGCCACACTATGCCCCACCACTAATCTGCCCCACTACTAATGTGCCCCACCACTAATGTGCCACACTATGCCCCACCACTAATGTGCCCCACCACTAATGTGCCCCACCACTAATGTGCCACACTATGCCCCACCACTAATGTGCCCCACCACTAATGGCAACACTATGCCCCACCACTAATGTGCCCCACCACTAATGTGCCCCACCAGTAATGTGCCACACTATGCCCCACCACTAATATGCCCCACCACTAATGTGTCACACTGTGCCCTACCACTAATGTGCCACACTATGCCCCACCACTAATGTGCCCCACCACTAATGTGCCCCACCACTAATGTGTCACACTATGCCCCACCACTAATGTGCCACACTATGCCCCACCACTAATGGCCACATTATGTGCCCCACGGTGGCCCCACCACCAATGTGCCACACTATGCTCCACCACTAATGTGCCCCACCACTAATGGCCACACTATGCCCCACCACTAATGTGCCCCACCATTATGTGCCCCACCACTAATGTGCCACACTATGCCCCACCACTAATGTGCCCCACCACTAATGGCCACACTATGCCCCACCACTAATGTGCCCCACCATTATGTGCCCCACCACTAATGTGCCACACTATGCCCCACCACTAATGTGCCCCACCACTAATGGCCACACTATGCCCCACCACTAATGTGCCCCACCATTATGTGCCCCACCACTAATGTGCCACACTATGCCCCACCACTAATGTGCCCCACCACTAATGTGCCACACTATGCCCCACCACTAATGTACCCCACCATTAATGTGCCCCACTATGCCCCACCACTAATGTGCCACACTATGCCCCACCACTAATGTGCCACACTATGCCCCACCACTAATGTGCCCCACCACTAATGTGCCCCCCCACCACTGTGCCAAACTATGCCCCACCACTAATGTGCCCTACCAGTATTGTGCCACACTCTGCCCCACCACTAATGTGCCACACTATGCCCCACCACTAATGTGCCACACTATGCCCCACCACTAATGTGCCCCACCACTAATGTGCCCCACCACTATTGTGCCCCACCACTAATATGCCCCACCACTAATGTGCCACACTATGCCCCACCACTAATGTGCCCCACCAGTATTGTGCCACACTATGCCCCACCACTAATGTGCCCCACCACTAATGTGCCCCACCACTAATGTGTCACACTATGCCCCACCACTAATGTGTCACACTATGCCCCACCACTAATGTGCCCCACCAGTATTGTGCCACACTATGCCCCACCACTAATGTGCCCCACCACTAATGTGCCCCACCACTAATGTGCCCCACCATTATTTGCCCCACCACTAATGTGCCAAACCATTAATGTGCCCCACTATGCCCCACCACTAATGTGTCACACTATGCCCCACCACTAATGTGCCCCACCAGTATTGTGCCACACTATGCCCCACCACTAATGTGCCCCACCACTAATGTGCCCCACCACTAATGTGCCCCACCATTATTTGCCCTACCACTAATGTGCCCCACCATTAATGTGCCCCACTATGCCCCACCACTAATGTGTCACACTATGCCCCACCACTAATGTGTCACACTATGCCCCACCACTAATGTGCCCCACCAGTATTGTGCCACACTATGCCCCACCACTAATGTGCCCCACCACTAATGTGCCCCACCACTAATGTGCCCCACCACTAATGTGCCCCACCATTATTTGCCCCACTATGCCCCACCACTAATGTGCGACACTATGCCCCACCACTATTGTGTCACACTATGCCCCACCACTAATGTGCCCCACCAGTATTGTGCCACACTATGCCCCACCACTAATGTGCCCCACCACTAATGTGCCCCACCACTAATGTGCCCCACCACTAATGTGCCCCACCATTATTTGCCCCACTATGCCCCACCACTAATGTGCGACACTATGCCCCACCACTATTGTGCCACACTATGCCCCACCACTAATGTGCCCCACCAGTAATGTGCCACACTATGCCCCACCACTAATCTGCCCCACTACTAATGTGCCCCACCAGTAATGTGCCACACTATGCCCCACCACTTATGTTCCCCACCACTAATGTGCCACACTATGCCCCACCACTAATGTTCCCCACCACTAATGTGCCACACTATGCCCCACCACTAATGTGCCACACTATGCCCCACCACTAATATGCCCCACCACTAATGTGCCCCACCACTAATGTGCCCCACCACTAATGTGCCCCACTATGCCCCACCACTAAGTTACATATCACCACGGCCTAGTCTATTAATGTCCCACAACGTCCAGTTGAAGTGGACACCAAAGTTTGTGGTCACGTGGTTTGTGTTATCACAAGTAAACAAGATTATCACGTGTGGAAAGCTCCACACGACGTAGTTACAAGATTTCAGCTGACACAAAATCTTCGCTCAAATTTGACGTGTGCAAAGAATTGATGGCTTTTCTAGCACTAAAACAATGGTTCTAAAACTAAATACTCAATTGTGACTGAGAATTGTACTTTATTTTGTATTGCGTTTCATCTATTTATTATACAAGTTACATATGAATGTATTGATTGTTAAACTAATGATTGATACAAATTGTGGGATCATTGCATTAGAAATGTTTTTCCGGGAGGGGGGGGGGGGTGATCAGACACTGGGTAAAGTATATTTTCTATGTAAAATGCATCTTTTTTTATTATTACGTACGGTGGAGGGGGGGGGGGGCGGTTGATTTTTATTTTTTCCCACTTCAAATTGTAAGCCTACAAATATCGTCAACATTGAATACAGTATGGCTATACCGAGAAGGATCGAAAAAGTTTAACTAAAATAGAAATAAAGAAATGGTCGATATATTTGACATAGCTGGCTGTAGGCAAGAATGGTCAATATATGCAGTGGCGTAGCTGGGGGGGGGGGGCGGGTGCGGACCGCACCGGATGACACCATTGAGGGGGTGACACCAAGGCAAAAAATAGTAAAATATATAGAGAAAATTATAATTCCTTTTAATTAAGTGATTAATTCGAGTGTTAAATAGTCTTTTAAGAGCAAATTTGACAAATCCCGACAAGGGCGGAAGGAGGAGGGTGCAATCAAAAGTTTGAGGGGGGGGGGGGGGGTGCAAATCGAAAATTGAAAGTTTGTCACCCAACCTAGCTACGCCAGTGAATATATGGCTGGCTGTAGATAAGCGACTGCTAGCTTGAGGGTTATAAAAATCCACCTATGAGTAGGTGCTCGACATGTGAAGACGTGTGTTGCATGAATAAATATTTTACAGATAAAAAAAAAGATTTTTAAAAAATGCTGGTTTTAATTTAAAATAGTTTTAACACACTTGTATCCCAACACATTGATGTGGGAGAAAAATGTTCTCTAGTTGAACAACAAGATAATCACTGAATGACCTCCCACGCTAAAGTCATTTAATTACACATCCTATTATCTACGATTAACCCGCACAATCATCTCCATCCACCCCTCCCCAATCACCATCACAACCACCCCCCTCCCCCTTATCAGTCCCAAATCACTTTTCCGTATCACTTGACTCTTATGACAAAATTTTCTAGAAGGTCGAAAAATCGTTAAACCGTGTGCAACAGTTATCTAGGTCAGCAATGAGACAACAAGAGTGCCGTGTGCAGCGTGATTTACATTATAAATAAACACGGTCCAGTAGGCTCGCTACTACAATTCACTTCGAGAGAATACGAAGATTTTGATTGCTAATTACTTGACCACATTTCTCTAACTCTAGTCAGAATGAGCGGAAAAGGTAAGCACGTTTTTGTACTTTGGTAGAATTAGACCTAAATTGTATACATTCATTTATTACGTTTTCTTGTATTCAGCAACCCCCTGGGTGAAAGGGCTATTGTATGCATATTGTAAACACAAATCACTGTTCGTGTTATGATCAAATAGGTTTTAGATCTAGGGTCTAAATTATAACCGCCAAATGGCCAATATTAAATTACTTTATTTTCAACACAGTATGAATTGTGCCAGATCTCTATGTTAATTTGTCGGTTGATGTGATTTATATTACGCACATGTAAGCTTTTCTATCATACCTGATTGAAATATTTTTGTATTCCGCTCACATCGATACCACCTTAATTGTGCACCGTCAGTCTGATGAGTGTATGCTGTATCCTAGCTCCTCTCTCTCAACACATTTCATTACTTATCTGTTTCACCCTCTATGTTTCCCCAAAGTAGCACCCTTTTTGGTTCCCCAAAGTAGCACCGCTATGGTTCCCCAAAGTAGCACCCTCTATGGTTCCCCAAAGTAACAACCTCTATGGTTCCCCAAAGTAGCACCCTTTTTGGTTCCCCAAAGTAGCACCGCTATGGTTCCCCAAAGTAGCACCCTCTATGGTTCCCCAAAGTAACAACCTCTATGGTTCCCCAAAGTAGCACCCTTTTTGGTTCCCCAAAGTAACAACCTCTATGGTTCCCCAAAGTAGCACCCTCTATGGTTCCCCAAAGTAGCACCCTCTATGGTTCCCCAAAGTAGCACCCGCTATGGTTCCTTCAGAAGTTGGATCCCCACAAGTCTCCTATAATGGTGCTCAACCTGTGTGCTAATCACGTGTTGTCCACTCAACCTGTGAGCTAATCACGTGTTGTCCACCTGTGTGCTAATCACGTGTTGTCCACCTGTGTGCTAATCACGTGTTGTCCACTCAACTTGTGTGCTAATCACGTGTTGTCCACCTGTGTGCTAATCACGTGTTGTCCACTCAACCTCTGTGCTAATCACGTGTTGTCCACTCAACCTCTGTGCTAATCACGTGTTGTCCACCTGTGTACTAATCACGTGTTGTCCACCTGTGTGCTAATCACGTGATATCTCCCACAGGACCAAATTGCACCGAGGCCTGCACTGGCGAACAATGCACCTGTGGCGACAGCTGCAAGTGTGGCGAGGGCTGCAACTGTCCCAGCTGTAAAACCTGCAAGTGTGAAGGTAGGTAACACCTGCTGTTGGCAGGTGGTGTTATATTGTAGGCAGGTGGTGTTATATTGTAGGCAGGTGGTGTTATATTGTAGGCAGGTGGTGTTATATTGTAGGCAGGTGGTGTTATATTAGCTGTTGGCAGGTGGTGTTATATTGTTGGCAGGTGGTGTTATATTGTAGGCAGGTGGTGTTATATTGTAGGCAGGTGGTGTTATATTGTTGGCAGGTGGTGTTATATTGTAGGCAGGTGGTGTTATATTGTAGGCAGGTGGTGTTATATTAGCTGTTGGCAGGTGGTGTTATATTGTTGGCATGTGGTGTTATATTGTTGGCAGGTGGTGTTATATTGTAGGCAGGTGGTGTTATATTAGCTGTTGGCAGGTGGTGTTATATTAGCTGTTGGCAGGTGGTGTTATATTAGCTGTTGGCAGTGGTGTTATATTAGCTGGTGGCAGGTGGTGTTATATTAGCTGTTGGCAGGTGGTGTTATATTAGCTGTTGGCAGGTGGTGTTATATTAGCTGTTGGCAGGTGGTGTTATATTGTTGACAGGTGGTGTTATATTGTTGACAGGTGGTGTTATATTGTTGGCAGGTGGTGTTATATTAGCTATTGGCAGGTGGTGTTATATTGTCGGCAGGTGGTGTTATATTAGCTGTTGGCTGGTGATGTTATATTAACTGTTGATAGGTGGTGTTATATTATCTGTTGACAGGTGGTAATATATTAGCTGTTGGCCTGAGGTGTTATATTAACTGTTGGCTGGTGGTAATATATTAGCTGCAGACAAACCGTTTGTATCAGCTAAAAATATTTGCCCCCGTACATGAAGCTATAGATACAGTATAGTGTAGACCCATTTAAATCATTACAAACTGACTGTATTGTGTTTTTGTTGCAGACAATGCTTGCAAGTGTGGTGAGGGCTGCACTGGACCAAGCACATGCAAATGTGAAAGCTCTGATTGTGCATGCAAGTAAAAGATGAAAATAGACATGATGATGACAGGATTGTAGACTGACTTGAACAAATGACAACCTAAGCACACGAATGCAACAAGAACAGCACAGGTGGTAGATCTGATTGAAGGCTTCAGATGATGTCGTCTTGAATGACAACTCCAGAGACTTGATTCTCACAGATCACATTTCCATTTGTGTTGTTCTCTTTTATGTACACTGATATTATTTTATTCATTTTAACGGAAGAGAGATAACTCTAGAAATGTATTTTCTTTTTTGGACTATTTCCCTTGGCTTTAAACAAAAAATTAAAAACTGGTTTAATTTTTTTTCTTCAAATTTCACTCAAATTCAAATGTAAATAGAAAATATATCACATACTCATTTCTGGCGTGAAGATTGGCATGAATGTGTTGAATGGACTGTTTAATTGAACGTTTATACATGACTTATTAAAGACTTGAATCTAAACATTCTAGTTGTCATTTGTTGTAATTACATTTTACTCTAGAATCTATGAGTTGGCACATTTTACCCATTTGGGTGAAAGAAACTCCAACATCAACTGTCAACTTGCTGATTGCTCATGGATGCACGAAGGCTACAGAAGCAAATCTAGAAAGAAAAATAGTCGGAGTCAAAGGGAAAATAGTCGCCTTACATGCTGAGACTGATATTTGTGTTGGGGGGTATAGCGAGAAGAATAAAAACATAGCTTGCACAGTTTTTGTCCTGATAACCACACGTACCTACCACACACCACAGATCCTGACAACCACACGTACTTACATAACAGATCCTGACACCCACACGTACCTACATGACAGATCCTGACAACCACACGTACTTACATAACAGATCCTGACACCCACACGTACCTACATGAAAAATCCTGACAACCACACGTACCTACATAACAGATCCTGACAACCACACGTACCTACATAACAGATCCTGACAACCACACGTACCTACATAACAGATCCTGACAACCACACGTACCTACATAACAGATCCTGACAACCACACGTACCTACATGACAGATCCTGACAACCACACATACCTACAACACATAAGAGATCCTGACAACCACACGTACCTACATGACAGATCCTGACAACCACACGTACCTACATGACAGATCCTGACAACCACACATACCTACAACACATAACAGATCCTGACAACCACACGTACCTACATAACAGATCCTGACAACCACACGTACCTACATAACAGATCCTGACAACCACACATACCTACAACACATAACAGATCCTGACAACCACACGTACCTACATAACAGATCCTGACAACCACACGTACCTACATAACAGATCCTGACAACCACACATACCTACAACACATAAGAGATCCTGACAACCACACGTACCTACATGACAGATCCTGACAACCACACGTACCTACATAACAGATCCTGACAACCACACGTACCTACCACACATAACAGATCCTGACAACCACACGTACCTACATGAGAGATCCTGACAACCACACGTACCTACATGACAGATCCTGACAACCACACGTACCTACATAACAGATCCTGACAACCACACGTACCTACATGACAGATCCTGACAACCACACGTACCTACATGACAGATCCTGACAACCACACGTACCTACATGACAGATCCTGACAACCACACGTACCTACATGACAGACCTGACAACCACACGTACCTACATGACAGATCCTGACAACCACACGTACCTACCACACATGACAGATCCTAACTCTAATAGAATACATTTAAAGATCCTAACTTACAGAATACTTTAAAAGATCATAACTCTTGCAGAATAAATTAAAAGATCATAACTAACAAAATTCTTTGAAAGATCCTAACTAGCAGAATGCATTAATAGATCATACTTCTGGCGGAATACCTTAAAATCATATCTCTAGAAGAATACATTAAGATCTTAACTCTAGCTGAATACTTTAAGATCTTAACTCTAGCTGAATACATTAAGATCTTAACTCTAGCTGAATTCTTTAAGATCTTAACTCTAGCTGAATACTTTAAGATCTTAACTCTAGTTGAATACTTTAAGATCTTAACTCTAGCTGAATACTTTAAGATAGAAACTCTAGCTGAATACATTAAGATCTTTACTCTAGCTGAATACTTTAAGATCTTAACTCTAGCTGAATACTTTAAGATCTTAACTCTAGCTGAATACATTAAGATCTTAACTCTAGCTGCATACTTTAAGATCTTAACTCTAGCTGAATACTTTAAGATCTTTACTCTAGCTGAATACATTAAGATCTTAACTCTAGCTGAATACTTTAAGATCTTATCTCTAGCTGAATACTTTAAGATCTTAACTCTAGCTGAATACTTTAAGATCTAAAATCTAGCTGAATACTTTATTATCTTAACTCTAGCTGAATGCTTTAAGATCTTAAATCTAGCTGAATACTTTAAGATCTGAACTCTAGCTGAATGCTTTAATGCTTTAAGATCTTAACTCTAGCTGAATACTTTAAGATCTTAACTCTAGCTGAATGCTTTAATGCTTTAAGATCTTAACTCTAGCTAAATACTTTAAGATCTTAACTCTAGCTGAATGCTTTAATGCTTTAAGATCTTAACTCTAGCTAAATACTTTAAGATCTGAACTCTAGCTGAATACTTTAAGATTTTATATCTAGCTGAATACTTTAAGATTTTATATCTAGCTGAATACTTTAAGATCTTTACCAGAATACGGTGCTTGACATTATTGATCGCTAAAACATGAAGCCCTAAATTCTAGCACTTCGCCATCTTCGATGGTGGAACAGATACAATTTATCTTGAACAGTTCTGGAAGATTGGCTATGAAAGGTTGGGGAGGGGGGAGTAAGATGGAGTGAGAGTCAATCGGTGAGAGTGTTAAATTGTGGGGGGTCAGGTGGGGTGGGGGAGTGTTAAATTGTGGGGGGTCAGGTGGGGTGGGGGAGTGTTAAATTGTGGGAGACTCAGGTGGGGTGGGGGAGTGTTAAATTGTGGGAGGGTCAGGTGGGGTGGGGGAGTGTTAAATTGTGGGAGACTCAGGTGGGGTGGGGGAGTGTTAAATTGTGGGAGACTCAGGTGGGGTGGGGGAGTGTTAAATTGTGGGAGGGTCAGGTGGGGTGGGGGAGTGTTAAATTGTGGGAGACTCAGGTGGGGTGGGGGAGTGTTAAATTGTGGGAGGGTCAGGTGGGGTGGGGGAGTGTTAAATTGTGGGAGCCTCAGGTGGGGTGGGGGAGTGTTAAATTGTGGGAGGGTCAGGTGGGGTGGAGGAGTGTAAAATTGTGGGAGGGTCAGGTGGGGGCGGGGAGTGTTAAATTGTGGGAGGGTCAGGTGGGGGCGGGGAGTGTTAAATTGTGGGAGGGTCAGGTGGGGGGGAGTGTTAAATTGTGGGAGACTCAGGTGGGGTGGGGGAGTGTTAAATTGTGGGAGACTCAGGTGGGGTGGGGGAGTGTTAAATTGTGGGAGACTCAGGTGGGGTGGGGGAGTGTTAAATTGTGGGAGACTCAGGTGGGGTGGGGGAGTGTTAAATTGTGGGAGACTCAGGTGGGGGCGGGGAGTGTTAAATTGTGGGAGGGTCAGGTGGGGGCGGGGGAGTGTTAAATTGTGGGAGGGTCAGGTGGGGGGGAGTGTTAAATTGTGGGAGGGTCAGGTGGGGGGGAGTGTTAAATTGTGGGAGACTCAGGTGGGGTGGGGGAGTGTTAAATTGTGGGAGGGTCAGGTGGGGGCGGGGAGTGTTAAATTGTGGGAGGGTCAGGTGGGGGCGGGGAGTGTTAAATTGTGGGAGGGTCAGGTGGGGGGGAGTGTTAAATTGTGGGAGACTCAGGTGGGGTGGGGGAGTGTTAAATTGTGGGAGACTCAGGTGGGGTGGGGGAGTGTTAAATTGTGGGAGACTCAGGTGGGGTGGGGGAGTGTTAAATTGTGGGAGGGTCAGGTGGGGGCGGGGGAGTGTTAAATTGTGGGAGGGTCAGGTGGGGGCGGGGAGTGTTAAATTGTGGGAGGGTCAGGTGGGGGGGAGTGTTAAATTGTGGGAGACTCAGGTGGGGTGGGGGAGTGTTAAATTGTGGGAGACTCAGGTGGGGTGGGGGAGTGTTAAATTGTGGGAGACTCAGGTGGGGTGGGGGAGTGTTAAATTGTGGGAGACTCAGGTGGGGTGGGGGAGTGTTAAATTGTGGGAGACTCAGGTGGGGGCGGGGAGTGTTAAATTGTGGGAGGGTCAGGTGGGGGGGAGTGTTAAATTGTGGGAGGGTCAGGTGGGGTGGGGGAGTGTTAAATTGTGGGAGACTCAGGTGGGGTGGGGGAGTGTTAAATTGTGGGAGGGTCAGGTTGGGTGGGGGAGTGTTAAATTGTGGGAGGGTCAGGTGGGGTGGGGGAGTGTTAAATTGTGGGAGACTCAGGTGGGGTGGGGGAGTGTTAAATTGTGGGAGGGTCAGGTGGGGTGGGGGAGTGTTAAATTGTGGGAGGGTCAGGTGGGGGGAGTGTTAAATTGTGGGAGGGTCAGGTGGGGTGGGGGAGTGTTAAATTGTGGGAGGGTCAGGTGGGGTGGAGGAGTGTTAAATTGTGGGAGGGTCAAGTGGGGGGAGTGTTAAATTGTGGGAGGGTCAGGTGGGGTGGGGGAGTGTTAAATTGTGGGAGGGTCAGGTGGGGTGGGGGAGTGTTAAATTGTGGGAGACTCAGGTGGGGTGGGGGAGTGTTAAATTGTGGGAGGGTCAGGTGGGGTGGGGGAGTGTTAAATTGTGGGAGGGTCAGGTGGGGTGGGGGAGTGTTAAATTGTGGGAGGGTCAGGTGGGGTGGGGGAGTGTTAAATTGTGGGAGGGTCAGGTGGGGTGGGGGAGTGTTAAATTGTGGGAGCCTCAGGTGGGGTGGGGGAGTGTTAAATTGTGGGAGGGTCAGGTGGGGGGGAGTGTAAAATTGTGGGAGACTCAGGTGGGGTGGGGGAGTGTTAAATTGTGGGAGACTCAGGTGGGGTGGGGGAGTGTAAAATTGTGGGAGGGTCAGGTGGGGGGGAGTGTAAAATTGTGGGAGACTCAGGTGGGGTGGGGGAGTGTTAAATTGTGGGAGACTCAGGTGGGGTGGGGGAGTGTTAAATTGTGGGAGGGTCAGGTGGGGTGGGGGAGTGTAAAATTGTGGGAGACTCAGGTGGGGTGGGGGAGTGTAAAATTGTGGGAGGGTCAGGTGGGGGGGAGTGTAAAATTGTGGGAGACTCAGGTGGGGTGGGGGAGTGTAAAATTGTGGGAGGGTCAGGTGGGGGGGAGTGTAAAATTGTGGGAGGGTCAGGTGGGGGGGAGTGTAAAATTGTGGGAGGGTCAGGTGGGGGGGAGTGTTAAATTGTGGGAGACTCAGGTGGGGTGGGGGAGTGTTAAATTGTGGGAGACTCAGGTGGGGTGGGGGAGTGTTAAATTGTGGGAGGGTCAGGTGGGGTGGGGGAGTGTAAAATTGTGGGAGGGTCAGGTGGGGGGGAGTGTTAAATTGTGGGAGGGTCAGGTGGGGGGAGTGTGATACTGTGGGATGTCAGGGGGGGGTGGGAGTATTAAATTATGAGGACTTCAATTCACTAGATCCGTATTTTGTGTTCAACAGCTCATCATATCTACTGTATAAAAAGACGTAAAGGTAAAGCCTACGGTAGCTATCATACCAGATCCAAATGCCAATGTCGCGCGTGCGACAATCTCATTGGTCTATTTTAGTATGAGCTGGATGGACGCTGTCTCGAGTCCATTTCCCTTCACATGGGAGACAACGATTCGTCACAAGGGGAGATAACTAAAATAGTTGGGACGTAAATAATTTGTTTGTTCTGTGACATCCTCAGCTGTGCCTGGCTGATCAACTTGACCTTCACATTGGAAGCTAAATTGAACACTTTGGGGCGACATTTTTTTTTAAATCGTGGGTATTCCGAAATGTTTTCTAAGATTTCAAATGTTATATCAAGCAGAATTTGGTTGTTGAGTCTCTATTTGTAGTTCAGTGTTTCTTTCAGATCTTTCAGATTTGTTTCTCCGGGGAGCGGGGGGGGGGGGGGTCACTTGAAAGTTCTTGGGGGAGGGGGACAGACACTGATAAAATTATATATCTTATAAATAAATTCTACTTCTATTCTACTCAGTCTTCTGTCCACACATGTAATACATTCAGCCTTATGTCCACGTAGGATATATATATATATATATATATATATATATATATATATATATATATATATATATATATATATATATATATATATATATATATATATATATTGATTTGCTGAAACAATCAGTCACCTACTAGTTACTATGGCAACATTTGAAGACCTAGTACCAAAAAGCCACCTTGTACCAGATGAAGAAAAGATATTTTTTATCACACTGCTCTCGATAACAACCGTGCGCTCGTCGATATTCAAGCTCTCATTAAACTAATGAATCGCGGACATCGTTCACAATCAAATCTCCATTAGCCGATAACAAGAGCGGGGGGGGGGGGGGGGGGTACTGTTGCTTAATTAACCACACGTGCATTTTTTTACCATGACCACATTAAATACAGGCGTGATTCAGTTCAAGAACTAAATACACATGTGGATCAGGTCAAGACACATTAAATACACATGTGGTTCATGTCAAGACTCACATTAAATACAGGTGTGGTTCATGTCAAGACTCACATTAAATACATGTGGTTCATGTCAAGACTCACATTAAATACAGGTGTGGTTCATGTCAAGACTCACATTAAATACATGTGTGGTTCATGTCAAGACTCACATTAAATACATGTGTGGTTCATGTCAAGACTCACATTAAATACATGTGTGGTTCATGTCAAGACTCACATTAAATACACATGTGGTTCATGTCAAGACTCACATTAAATACATGTGTGGTTCATGTCAAGACTCACATTAAATACACATGTGGTTCATGTCAAGACTCACATTAAATACAGGTGTGGTTCATGTCAAGACTCACATTAAATACATGTGTGGTTCAGGTCAAGACTCACATTAAATACATGTGTGGTTCATGTCAAGACTCACATTAAATACATGTGTGGTTCATGTCAAGACTCACATTAAATACATGTGTGGTTCATGTCAAGACTCACATTAAATACAGGTGTGGTTCATGTCAAGACTCACATTAAATACATGTGTGGTTCATGTCAAGACTCACATTAAATACAGGTGTGGTTCTGGTTAAGAATTTGACGAAGCTTGAAATTCGCTGGCTCAAGACAGTTAGTCTATGTAAGTGCTCCTAACTTTGATAGGCCTTGATAATCTGTACTAGCAACACATGAACTAATGAGTGCATTTAAAATCCCCTCTATTTTCCAGCGTAACTGAACAACGAAATGAAGCGAATGTTAAGAAGCCGGAAATTTAGAAACTGTCTAGCTTTCAGAATGTTGATACCAGTCATCTTATCACGTGACATAACTGCCACAAAACTACATTAACAAAAATAAATTGAAATTGATGACATAACCAATCGTATAGCTGACCCTTTGCAAAAGTTGACAAAAACTTTTGGCAATTTCAAAATGATTGGATAAAAGTAGTAAGCCACTGGAATAAAAACATATTTTCCTAAACCTTTTGTTGAGTTTTGCAAACATTAAAAGTCTGACTGGTAGACAGGAAGAACAAAATGTAGTTCGACACGGGATGTTTCCTGGACAATGATACTTGAAACATCTGAGGGAGGTAAACAATAGTAAGTATTTATTTTACATGCCAATTTACGTTTTTCTTCATAAAGGCGGGATGTCTGAACGAAACACAGGATCTGACACATGCAAACACTACAACAAGAGGTTTACATGCGCATTAGAACAGGACCACTAACATGTACACAACAGGACCACTAACATGTGGACAACAACAGGACCACTACCATGTACACAACAACAGGACCACTAACATGTACACAACAACAGGACCACCAACATGTACACAACAACAGGACCACTACCATGTACACAACAACACGACCACTAACATGTACACAACAACAGGACCACCAACATGTACACAACAACAGGACCACTACCATGTACACAACAACAGGACCAATAACATGTACACAACAACAGGACCACTAACATGTACACAACAACACGACCACTCACTTGTACACAACAACAGGACCACTAACATGTACACAACAACAGGACCACTAACATGTACACTACAACAGGACCACTAACATGTACACAACAACAGGACCACTAACATGTACACAACAACAGGAGCACTCACATGTGGACAACAACAGGACCACTACCATGTACACAACAACAGGACCAATAACATGTACACAACAACAGGACCACTAACATGTACACAACAACAGGACCACCAACATGTACACAACAACAGGACCACTACCATGTGGACAACAACAGGACCACTAACATGTACACAACACCAGGACCACTACCATGTACACAACAACAGGACCACTACCATGTTGACAACAACAGGACCACTAACATGTACACAACAACAGGACCACTACCATGTACACAACAACAGGACCACCAACATGTACACAACAACAGGACCACTACCATGTGGACAACAACAGGACCACTAACATGTACACAACAACAGGACCACTAACATGTACACAACAACAGGACCACCAACATGTACACAACAACAGGACCACTACCATGTGGACAACAACAGGACCACTAACATGTACACAACAACAGGACCACTACCATGTACACAACAACAGGACCACCAACATGTACACAACAACAGGACCACTACCATGTGGACAACAACAGGACCACTAACTTGTACACAACAACAGGACCACTAACATGTACACAACAACAGGACCACCAACATGTACACAACAACAGGACCACTAACATGTACACAACAACAGGACCACCAACATGTACACAACAACAGGACCACCAACATGTACACAACAGGACCACTAACATGTGGACAACAACAGGACCACTAGCATGTGGACAACAACAGGACCACCAACATGTACACAGCAACACGACCACTCACTTGTACCCAACAACAGGACCACTAACATGTACACAACAACAGGACCACTCACATGTGGACAACAACAGGACCACTACCATGTACACAACAACAAGACCACTACCATGTGGACAACAACAGGACCACTAACATTTCCACAACAACAGGACCACTACCATGTACACAACAACAGGACCACTACCATGTACACAATAACAGGACCACTAACATGTACACAACAACAGGACCACTAACATGTACACATCCATAACCTTATTGTACCCGTGACATGAGCCAACTTATCACCTAACGATTCTACACCGCCCCTCCCCCACCCTTCGATCCATGTCACTGCCCAGCCCACGGTCCTAGAGAATGGCCGCCTCCACACACAACGGTCACAGAGTCACTCGTCGCTCACCATCAGTTCCCCGTCACCGCACGTTCACATAACAAAGCGAGGTGGTTGTGTACTCGCTCAGCTGTGGTTAGCACGCTGTTGGCCAGCAGGAATTTTACGACAATTTTAATGTCAACACGTTGTTTAAATAGACAGTTTTTTATTGAACTTTTTAAATGGTGTTCTTGTGTACAACAGTAAAAACGTTGAAAACTTTGACGTGATACACCATTTACGTAGGATGTGTGCAATATATCATGTGTTTGCGGTGAGTTTTATATTTTTCTCATGTTGTACTTATTATTCAGTACTTATTTAGGTAGAACATTCAAAATACAGGAAGTATCATAACTGATTTAAAAGCACGTACACACACACAAACATATATATATATATATATATATATACACACCTACCATTTGTGATTATCACCGTTTTATACATCGAGATCTGTTTTAATGATCTCGGCATATGAAGGGATAGTTTGGTCAACATTTTACCCAGCCGTCCTTGTTTCCTTAACGTAAGTCAGGTACCCAATCACAGCTGGGTGGATTCAGTTACGTCATACAGATACGAACTCGGGATGCGAACTCGTGACTTCCGAGATGGGGTTCGTGAGCTCTACCCCCCGACCACTCAGTCACCTCAAGCAAAAAATAGTAATTTTATGCTCCGTCGATTTTTACACAACATATCTCGAACCATATTCTTTTGATATTCGTACAAAAACGTCTCTATTGATATATATCATACATCACGTCTGTTGTCTATCTAATATACATGATATCTGATTTATATCCATCACACGTCTGTTATCTTTATATCATACATCACGTCTTATATCTATCATACATCACGTCTTATATCTAACATACATTTTTCTAATATGTCATTCATCATATCATATATAATCTCTAATGATATCAACACACCCCATATTTTAAACCTCCTGTCCTATCTTAACTCGATTCAGACAAATCTATGTTTACAAATCTTCATTAAAGTTAGCTTCATTCATTGAATTAGGATCCTAAAATCTCCAGTAAAGCTAGTTTCAAGCCATAGAATTAGGATCCTAAAATCTCCAGGAAAGTTAGCTTCATTTATAGAATTAGGATCCTAAAATCTCCAGTAAAGCTAGTTTCAAGCCATAGAATTAGGATCCTAAAATCTCCAGTAAAGCTAGTTTCAAACCATAGAATTAGGATCCTAAAATCCCCAGTAAAACTAGTTTCAAGCCATAGAATTACAATCCTAAAATCTCCAGTAAAGCTAGTTTCAAGCCATAGAATTAGGATCCTAAAATCCCCAGTAAAGCTAGTTTCAGGCCATAGAATTAGAATCCTAAAATCTCCAGTAAAGCTAGTTTCAAGCCATAGAATTAGGATCCTGAAATCTCCAGTAAAGCTAGTTTCTAACCATAGAATTAGGATCCTGAAATCTCCATTAAAGCTAGTTTCTAACCATAGAATTAGGATCCTAAAATCTCCAGTAAAGCTAGTTTCTAACCATAGAATTAGGATCCTGAAATCTCCATTAAAGCTAGTTTCTAACCATAGAATTAGGATCCTAAAATCTCCAGTAAAGCTAGTTTCAAGCCATAGAATTAGAATCCTAAAATCTCCAGTAAAGCTAGTTTCAGGCCATAGAATTAGAATCCTAAAATCTCCAGTAAAGCTAGTTTCTAACCATAGAATTAGGATCCTGAAATCTCCAGTAAAGCTAATTTCAAGCCATAGAATTAGAATCCTAAAATCTCCAGTAAAGCTAGTTTCAGGCCATAGAATTAGAATCCTAAAATCTCCAGTAAAGCTAGTTTCAGGCCATAGAATTAGAATCCTTCTTTACACAAGCCCTAACCTAGCAAGTTTTGACCTGTAGCATCAGAATCCTCGTATATCCAATACATTTTTTAACCAAACATTGTTGTGGGCGCTCACAAAAAACGTTCTGTTCACCCAGCTCGCTGTTGAATACAAGGCTGTTTGTATACGTCTTCTCTCTTTAGAAAAACAGATCAACAAAAGGGTTTATAAAAAACGCAATGGAACTTTTAGGGTTTGAAAAGTTTCTTTTATAAACTCTTTCAAAGCAAGAAATTTAAAATGCTCTTCAACGACAGCTTTAACTTCAGTTTAGTATCGATCTCCAGATGGAGCAGTTTAACTAGAGTATCGATGTAGATTTGTAACTGTTTAAACTATAGATCGATGTAGATTTTTAGTAGTATAGATTACAGTATCGATATAAATTTGTAGAAGCTTAAACTAGAGAATCTATGTAGACTTGTAGCAGAATAAAGTACAGTATCGATATAGATTTATAGCATAATAAATTTAAGTATCGATCTAGATTTGTAGCTGTGTTTAGTATCAATTCAACGTTGTTTTTTTTTGTTTAGAAAGGTTAGATTTAATGTGTGATTATTTAAATGCCTGATATTGGTGAATCATTTGAACTTTTTCAAATGTTACTCGATTTAACATATGAAAAGTTCAACAAAAAAAAAACAACTTAAAATGCATTAGCTTAGACCTGAATCACAAACAAAGCCATTTTGCCAATAAATGATATAGATGGTCGACATCAAGTATAAAGACATCACCGCTAAAAGTTGGACATATTTAATACAAAAACATCATCAGAACATACCATCAGACATCTCTACCACCCACATTTCTAAAATAGCCACATATTCCTTCTAGTTCGAGCATTTTTTACTTCTCACTCTTCTTTTTGTTATTACACGACCAAACTTTTCCCATACCACCTTACTCTTTGCTGATTACCTTACACTTTTTCACCCAATATTTTACAGTTTCACCCAATATTTTACAGTTCGACCCAACATTTTACAGTTTCACCCAATAGTTTACAGTTTCACCCAATAGTTTACAGTTTCACTCTATATTTTACAGTTTCACTCTATATTTTACAGTTTCACCCAATATTTTACAGTTTCACCCAAAATTTTACAGTTTCAATCAATATTTTACAGTTTCACCCAATATTTTACAGTTTCACTCAATATTTTACAGTTTCACCCAATATTTTACAGTTTCACTCAATATTTTACAGTTTCACCCAATATTTTACAGTTTCACCCAATATTTTACAGTTTCACTCAATATTTTACAGTTTCACCCAATATTTTACAGTTTCACCCAAAATTTTACAGCTTCAATCAATATTTTACAGTTTCACCCAATATTTTACAGTTTCACTCAATATTTTACAGTTTCACCCAATATTTTACAGTTTCACTCAATATTTTACAGTTTCACCCAATATTTTACAGTTTCACCCAATATTTTACAGTTTCACTCAATATTTTACAGTTTCATCCAATGTTTTACAGTTTCACCCAAAATTTTACAGTTTCACCCAATATTTTACAGTTTCACCCAAAATTTTACAGTTTCACCCAATATTTTAAAGTTTCACCCAAAATTTTACAGTTTCACCCAATATTTTACAGTTTCACTCAATATTTTACAGTTTCATCCAATGTTTTACAGTTTCACCCAAAATTTTACAGTTTCACCCAATATTTTACAGTTTCACCCAAAATTTTACAGTTTCACTCAATATTTTACAGTTTCACCCAATATTTTACAGTTTCACTCAATATTTTACAGTTTCATCCAATATTTTACAGTTTTAACAATATTTTAGCAGATATTAAAATGAATAAATTGCTAATGTGATTACCCGCCTAGAGTGCCAAGTATGTTGAAATGTGCGTGTGATAAATGATATCAATATGCTGGAGCCGCGCCTTACATGATTGAGTGGAGGAAATCTAGAGCCGCTTGTCTGTTGTAGGGCTGCTAGAGAACGGATTAAAGCAGTTGGTGAGGATCTGATTATTGTCTGCTTCACTAAACCTCAAATTAAAAACAACTTTCTACAGGTACAGCACAATTTCTTTGTTGGCATATTGCGTTGTCAGTAATGTTTGTAGGCAGTAGGGTGGCTGGGTTGGTTAAATGGTTTTGGGGTGGTTGGGGACGTCCGTTTGGGGTGGTTGTGGACGTCGGTTTGGGGTGGTTGGGTACGTCGGTTTGGGGTGGTTGGGGACGTCGGTTTGGGGTGGTTGGGTATGTCGGTTTGGGGTGGTTGTGGACGTCGGTTTGGGGTGGTTGTGGACGTCGGTTTGGGGTGGTTGTGGACGTCGGTTTGGGGTGGTTGGGGACGTCGGTTTGGGGTGGTTGGGGACGTCGGTTTGGGGTGGTTGTGGATGTGAGTGTGGGGTGGTTGTGGATGTCGGTTTGGGGTGGTTGGGGACGTCGGTTTGGGGTGGTTGTGGACGTGAGTGTGGGGTGGTTGTGGATGTTGGTTTGGGATGGTTGGGGACGTCGGTTTGGGGTGGTTGTGGATGTTGGTTTGGGATGGTTGTGGACGTGAGTGTGGGGTGGTTGGGGACGTCGGTTTGGGGTGGTTGTGGACGTGAGTGTGGGGTGGTTGGGGACGTCGGTTTGGGGTGGTTGTGGACGTGAGTGTGGGGTGGTTGGGGACTTTTTTTTTGGGGTGGTTGTGGATGTTGGTTTGGGGTGGTTGTGGACGTGAGTGTGGGGTGGTTGGGGACGTCGGTTTGGGGTGGTTGTGGATGTTGGTTTGGGATGGTTGTGGACGTGAGTGTGGGGTGGTTGGGGACGTCGGTTTGGGGTGGTTGTGGACGTGAGTGTGGGGTGGTTGGGGACGTCGGTTTGGGGTGGTTGTGGATGTGAGTGTGGGGTGGTTGTGGATGTTGGTTTGGGATGGTTGGGGACGTCGGTTTGGGGTGGTTGTGGATGTTGGTTTGGGATGGTTGTGGACGTGAGTGTGGGGTGGTTGGGGACGTCGGTTTGGGGTGGTTGTGGACGTGAGTGTGGGGTGGTTGGGGACGTCGGTTTGGGGTGGTTGTGGACGTGAGTGTGGGGTGGTTGGGGACTTTTTTTTTGGGGTGGTTGTGGACGTGAGTGTGGGGTGGTTGGGGACTTTTTTTTTGGGGTGGTTGTGGATGTTGGTTTGGGATGGTTGGGGACGTCGGTTTGGGGTGGTTGGGGACGTCGGTTTGGGGTGGTTGAGGACTTGGGTTTGGGGTGGTTGGGTACGTTGGTTTGGGGTGGTTGGGGACGTCGGTTTGGGGTGGTTGTGGACGTGAGTGTGGGGTGGTTGTGGATGTTGGTTTGGGATGGTTGGGGACGTCAGTTTGGGGTGGTTGGGGACGTCGGTTTGGGGGGGGGTGTGGTTTTGGGGTAGTTGGTCTTGGGTTGGAGGTAA